TCTGAAAATAAAAAACTGAAGAACACAAAATTTAACGTGGAAAACCCTCTGTTAACGAAGAGGGAAAAACCACCAGGGCAACAAGGCCGTAGAAAATCCACTATGTAAAAAAAAAATTACACAATTTTTCTACCACTCACTTACCCAAAATTACCCCACAGAATTTTCTACTCGTTAACCCTAACTCTCACCCTAAGGAATTTTTACCCTAAGGAATTTTTTACCAGAGATTAATTGTTAACACAATAACTCTGTGGGGTGATTTTACATAAGAAGTAGCACTTTCTTATATAAGGAAAAAATCCCCTCCTCTCTCATCCCACTTTCGATGTGGGACAAAAGAGCAAAAACTCAACAAAATGGTCGAGAGAAAAAGCATCTTGTGGTGTATCCTGTTATTTCTGGCTTTTTTAGGCTGACCTAACGGGTAGGTAGTCTTACTTTTTTTTTTTTCAATAAACACGCGTAGTTTCAAATTGAAATGTTACTATAAAAAACAATATAAACAAAAGTACTGACATTTCATTTCATAATATTATTCGGCATATTTAGCTACAAAATTATGAATGGTTGACCCGCCTAACAGTAACTGTCTCAAACAAAAATTTGGGGACATCTACATGATAAATAGTGTTAAAATATTCATTAATACTTTCAATAAGATAGTCATTTCCAATAATCCATTAGAATTTTCTATTATCATGTATAAATCATTTTCTTATAATATATTAGCCTATTTAGGCACATCTATTTCAACCCTACAACAAAGTTTTTGAGGTAAATATTATATTTACATGTAAGGCGAAATGTTACATTCTCCACATCAAAAGACAAGTACTTGCCGTGTGTTTGTTATAAGGCATAACTACTGAAAGATACAAGTCACAATCCCACACCTTCTGTAAATTCTAAAATTTTATCTATACCTTATTTTTTACCGTCCATTTTTTACCATCCATTTTTCTAAAATTACAGTCAAACCGTCACTAGAGTTGACTCATTATACTTTTTTTTCGAAACAACATATTTTAAGGAATAAAAACAGATAATTAGAACTAGAAATCAGCCAGAATAAGCCAAACGACAATCGAGCCGAATCTAGCGAGAGGGCTACACACAGTAAAAGTATACTATTTGAACAAAAATGCATAATACTATTTAAACATTATACTTTTATTTATGTTAGTTTTTAAAATATGACATTTTTTAGTAAAAGTATGTACATTTATAAGAGAAATATGTTGGCCTAAGGCCATCTCCAGCCATTATCTCTACTCTAGCGCCGACTTTACTCTACTCTAGAATAGAGTTGAACATTCATCTTCAACTTTTATCTCTACATTTTACTCTACATTAAATATATTATTTTTTTATTCATTTTTTATTTCAAATAAATTGGTATATATGTATATTTAATCTTATATAAAATGTTAATTACCCAAATAATAAAAATATATTTTATTTATTTTTATGTAACATAATTTGCTATATATGAATATGTAATGTTATATAAATGTTTATTACCCAATAGTAATTAAAAAAATTATGTATAAAGACGATTTGCAGCTGCTTCTCGATCGCGAAATTATGCACTAAACCATATACGGTCTAGACTACAATTATTTTACAAAATGTGAATATATGCACTAAACCATATACGGTCTAGACTGTAAATATGCACTAAATAAACTTGTTTGAGTGTGTTTAATTTTTATTCATATGGTATCATTTTAATATTAAACACAAAATTATTTAGCATAAAAATTACATTACACAAAGTTATCAGTAAAAAAATATATTTCTTAATACACATTATACAAAAAAATATCATTTAAAATACATAAAAAAAAAAAAAATATTCTGGCGTTGTTACAGTATTGCGCCAGTGTTGCGCCACATCTAGCGCAACACTGTAGCAAACTTTGAAGTAGCGTTAAAATATAAAGTAGCACTGGAGGGATTTTCTACGCCACAACAGAGTAGCGCTTTGAATGTGGCGCTCCATTGTAGATGGTCTAATGGTTAAACTGGCCTAACACAAGACCAATGGGTGTTTAAGTACTTTTCCCATTTAGCTTGTTTAGCTCGAAATTCGAAACTGATATGGTTTCGTTTTATCTATAAATCTATATATATATTAAACTGAAGCAGCTGGAATTTTCCCTCTCATTTTTGCATTAATTTTTGTATAAATTTTATGGTAAATGTCCTAAATTCATTCCATTAGTATATTTATTGCACTTAAAATTTGTAGTATATTTATTGATTTACAACTTTAGCCAAAATTACTAACTTTGAGGACAAGGTGAGCTTCTTGAAAACACAAAAGAATAAATATGATCATATAGATTCTATAACTAAATACATGATTAATCTACTTTCAAAATGAATTTATGTAACACAACCATTAAAATGATACCAAGAAAAGAGGATCATATTATCATGTAAAATATTACTTTTTTTTTTATTTTGGTACAGGGACCTTCCGGTTTCCGGATCCACAGGGGAACCGACTAATCCGAAATCGAGCCGGGTAGGACCACAAGGGCGGCAAAGCTCTCCCTCAAGTGTAAAATATTACTTTGAATGATGGATTATTCATATAATCATATTTAATGCAGTTCACTAATTGCTAAAATTAAGAAAAAATAGTACGACCTCCTATTTTAAATAGAAGTCGTTTTGGGATGTTGCACATTTATTAAGAATATTTTTTTTGTCAATAATAACCTTATTTGATGAAGATAGAGATGAATGTTTTGAGAAAAAGATGAAGAGTGATTATGAAAAGACGTGATGTATTTATTAGCTAAATGAGGGTAATAATGGAAAAATATGTACAAAAAAATCCAAAACGACATTTATTTAACAAATAGTTGATAAAGTTAGAATGACATTTAAAAATAAATAGGAGGGAGTAATTATATTATATGTAATAAATTAAGTTTGGAATTAGAATAAGGAATATTTAAAATATAAAGTTAAAAAAGTATTATGCTTACCACGCCCTTTACAATTTTTTTGGTTCTTCCACTTTAATTAAAATCAGAATTATGTAGTTACAAAGATTTAAAATAAATAAAGGTTAAATTTTATAAATCTTTCACATTTTATAGTAGCTACATATACTTACCAAAAAAACATAATACAAATATTCATATTAGTTCCAAATATGTATTTATAAATAATAGATTGAAGACTTTTCATTCATTTAAGATTTAGATTTTTCCTCAATTCGTAACTTTACATTTGTAATAAATTCTTAAAAAATCTCATTGTAAACAATGTAAAAGTGAAGCGAATATTAATTTAAGTTAGACAATATCAATTTTTAAGGCGTGATTCATATTTTCAAATTATAACAATGTTTGCACCATAGAATTTATTGATTAAAATTGTATGACTATTATAGAATATGTTGGATCTATATACTTCATTAAAACAATTGGCATGCACTATTATTTTTAGAGTTTTGGGGTTATAAGAGCATAAGTACTAATAATATACTAAATATAAAAAGTAATATAATTGTAGTTAATGTTTTTTTTTTTTTTTGGAACGATAGAGATACTATATAAGGCAAAAAAATGCAAATTACAATCACCAGCTGACAGCACGTAGCCACCAACTGAATAAAATGAGAGGACAGGACGAAGTCCGCCTAAATACGACCCTAACAGGGTAATGACCACGCAACACAAAGACACAACACTAAAACGACCCCAACAGGGTAATGCCCGAGTGTGTGGTCCCAAAAGTATAATAAGTTCACACTCGAGCTGACTGAGGCCAACGGCCCAAACCTAAAACAAAACAATTAGTACAAACACCAACACAAACGACAAAAACAAGAACAAAAACAAACGAAGAACACAAGAACCAAAAAACAACTACATATAACAGAACAACCTCCCTCAGCAGATACATCCGAAAAGGACAGCAGACAAAGCCGATTCCGAGGAGAGCTTCGAAGCTCCGATACCACGCCCACCACTACATAAAGTCTAGCAAGACGATGCCCCAAGCCTAAAAAACAATCCGAGAACACGACCGACACTCCATCCGCTGAAAGCCAAGAACACCCCCAACCAGCTAACACCACTAGCTGATCTGACACCCTCCCGAAGCAGCCTAACACCACTAGCCTACTCCGGAGACCGTCGGCCTCACTCAAACTCAGAAACCCAGAAAAGGGAGGAAGGATACGAGTGGTATCCATGCTCGACCGCTCTGACCCTGCCTGAAAGAAACAGATCCTAACAACCCACCCCTCAGGGAGAAGCCCCGACCCGCCACCCCCCACAATCGAGGAGCCGGTGACCAGACCCCTGCTGAACCCAGAAATCCACCATCGGTAGCCCTCCAAATTGGCCGAAAAGAGGCACCCCGGCCAAAGCCGACTCAGACGACACAAGCATCATCCACGCACGACCACACCCCACCATTTTCCGAAACCACTGAAATCCAGCAACCTTCGAGCGGAAAAAAATCCGCCGGAACCCTAGCCCTAGCCCAGTAGCGGCGAGACAGAGGACGGGAGCGCCGCGACCGTAGATGAGCGGTGGAGACCGTCCACCGACAATCACAGACGGCGGCTGAGGGAACTTACCTTGCGAGGAAAGATGGAGGTTGAGATTTGGGGGAGACCATTGAAGAATACATATGTAACACTATTGTTGATTTTTGGTCTAAAATAATTAAGAAAAATGTGGCTTCTTCATAAAAGAATAGGAAAATAACCAGTCACATTGAATTGTCCATCCATATACCATAGGCTCTCAAGAAGAAATAATAATAATAATAATAATAATAATAATAA